TCTACAATACGTAAAACATTGAACAAGCAGGGTATCTACGGCAGGACACCACAAAGGAAGCCACTGCTTACTAAAAAGAACATTGCTGCACGCCTGAAGTTTGCAAAAGAGCACATTGACACTCCACAGCGGTATTGGCAAAATGTTTTGTGGAGTGATGAAACTAAGATTGAACTATTTGGAAAAAACACACAGCACTACATCTGGCGTAGAAAGGGCACGGCATATCATCATGAAAACATCATCCCAGCTGTAAAGTATGGTGGAGGAAACATCATGATTTGGGCCTGCTTTGCTGCATCAGGGCCTGGCCAGCTTGCAGTCATTGAGGGGAAGATGAATTCCCAACTTTATCAGACAATTCTTCAGGATAATCTGAGAATGTCTGTACGTCAGCTGAAACTGTGTAGAAGATGGATGGGTGATGCAACAGGACAACGACCCAAAACACCGGAGCAAATCCACAACAGAATGGCATCAGAAAAACAAAATCCGCCTTTTGGAGTGGCCAAGTCAGAGCCCAGACCTCAACCCAATAGAGATGCTATGGAATGACTTGAAGAGAGCCATACACATGAGACGTCCAAAGAATTTGACAGAGCTAAAGCAGTTCTGCCAGGAAGAATGGGCTAAAATTCCTCCTCAACGATGTGCAGGTCTGATCCACAGCTACAGGAAGCGCCTGGTTGAAGTTATTGCTGCCAAGGGGGGGTCAACCAGTTATTATATTCACTAATAGGGTTCACTTACTTTTTCCACTGCCATTTTGAATGTTGAATGAGTGTGTTCAATAAAGACATGAAAGATCAGGTTTTTTTGTGTGTTATTATTTTAGACACATTATATTTGTCAATACCCTTGACTTAGATGAAGATCAGATCACATTTTATGACAAATTTATTCAGAAAACCATGACATTCCAAAAGGTTCACATACTTTTTCTTGCCACTGTACATGGGGCGCCGGCACTATCCACTAAGCTACCGACGCCCCGAATATCACAACAGCTTTAATCAAATCAGCCTTAAATTAATCAAATTACTAATGAATTTATTTTTTATTTTACATCCATTTGTTCGGCGCAATTTTTCAATTTGCATGCTCTTTCATTACCTCCATTTTTATCAGGTACCTGCTTTTAATTTTACCCCTCATACTTTGCAACATTAAACCATATGAGCATTTTTGTAACATCCAAGGCTCATACAACACATCAAATGTAAAGGATTGCGAGAAGTTATTCAAATTTCAGATTTGCAGATAGTTTCAGTGAGTGATATGTGTACACAGAAAAAAAGAAATTGATTCAGAACAGAGCCTTGAGGTTCCCCGCAGCCTATATTTCAAATATTTGAGGTCACGTTGTTGCAGGAAACTCAGCGACCTTAATTCCAGACCTCTGTGTCCTCTATCCAGACATACTGTATTCAGATTGTGCCTATGTATACAGATCAAAGTTCACACCATTCAATATACAAATAATCACATACATTTTTCTTCTTCTAGTCCGGGCCCTAAAAAACAAAAGTAATATGAACTGATTTCTATTCTTGGCACACACTCTTAAACAATATTTATATGAGCTGCAATTTCAGACAGTATGGGCAACATTTGTTTAAGGAGTTAATTTTTTTTTTTGGAGTTGATCCTGACCCAAAGTTCTATAAGCTATTTGCAGAGTTCATGAATACAGGTCGAAAGTTTAGAGATGAGTACAACCAGGGCAACAGTATCTGGGGAGACTAATTTGAGCTGCAAAAGCACACAAACAGCTTGTGAAATATCATGAGAGCTGTCTGAGAGGAGGCAGCATTATCTCCAATTAGAGCAGAGCGTCTTGTGACTGCATCATGGGTTAACTTGACCAGCACAATGAGGCCCTTCACAAGATTTGCAGCAGACTCAAAGAAAGTAGAATTGATTTTGTAGACTGAGTTAAAGACTTTGATTTTACAAATACCCCCATGAATGTTTTAATGGACTATATTTAAGTTCACATTTATGTCAGATATCCATGTTTAGATCGCTCTATAGACCTGCTTAATTACACATGTCAATAACTAATTATTGCTGGTTTTGTTTGCTTCTCATCTCCTTTAAGCTGCACACTGGGTTTAGTTAGCTGAAGGGAACAAAAGGAAGGCAGATTTGTGTCTGTCTGTTGTTTTTACAGTAAGATGAGTTGGTTTCTACCCCTAACAGACTCGACTGATTGAAACTACCTGAGATAGCAACTTTAACAGCTGAACATGGTCTTTCTCTGCTTAAAAAGGGACCTATTATTCTCATTCCCAGGTTCATACTTGCATTTTGGGTTTCTACTAGAACATGTTTACATGCTTTAATGATCAAAAGACACATTTTCCTCATACTGACACACCGAGACACTCCATTTTAGTTCCTGCCTCTTTAAGCCACCCCTCTGAAAAAGTCCAGTCTGCTCTGATTGGTCAGCATTTGCGGGTCATGGTGTCTCTGCACCATCTTTGCAGCTGGGAATGACTGTAACAGAGAATAGCAACACTTTCTACTGTGAAAAAACACCAATAAAAACTTCTAAGCACAAGCAGGGCTATGATCAGAAATCTGAAAGAAATCTACAACATCAGAAACCAAGATCGCATGTTTCCCTGACATTAGCATGTAGCTACAAGTAGCAGTGTGCTTTCAGCCAAGGAATGACTGTAATGGAGTATAGTGGCATTGTCTTCTGTTACAAATAAAAAAAATATTTGGCTTCTAAACACAACCGGGCATGTTCCAGCAGGACTATGATCAGAAATCTGGAAGATATTTACAACATCAGAAACCAAGTTTGCATGTTTCCCTGACATTAGCATGTAGCTACATGTAGCAGTGTACCTCCAGCCGAGGAATGACTGTAAGCACCTGACATTATAATATTATACTTATGACAGAAAATAAGGAAAGCATAATAGGTCCAATTTAAGCAAATACCATGCCACCACACAACAGCAGCAGAGCTTATATTTTCAACCTCTGTGTGCTTTATGACTAACATTCAAAAGTGCATATTATTACATTGATAGTCAGTGGTTAAAACAAATTTTCACACAGGGAGTTTCTGGGTTTTTTATGTTTTGGCCCACAAGCAACTTCCTGTGGTGAAGCTGTAGCTGAGGTTGATTTTCAACCCACCTCAACCCATTTATGTTGTAACTACAACAGAGAAACTACACTGAACCAGCGTAGTCTCTGTTGAAAGTTTTGTGTCTTGTGGTTTCTTCATATTCTCCTTTAAGCCATGTTTACTGAAACACAGCCAGAGCATGTTGAATAGCTACAGCTGTTGATAAGAACATGCTGATAAGTTTCTGAGCTCCTTTTATAAAAATATGCTGGTACCAAAATTAACAAGTTTATACTATGACATCTATATGTATATCAATACACAGTTGATTGAACACACGTGTACTCTTTAAGTCTGCCTTTGATTCAAAATAAGAAAAACATTTTTTTCATCCACACTGGGTAATAATGTCACTATACTCTGGAACTATTTGTTGTAAGTTATAAATGGACTGCACTTGTAGAGCGCTTTTCTAGTCTTCGGACCACTCAAGGCGCTTTTACACTACATGTCAGATTCACACATTCACACACTGGTGACAGAGGCCACAAGGTGCCAACTGCTACTCTGTAACCATTCACTCGCACTCACACACCAATGGCACAGCCATCGGGAGCAATTTGGGGTTCAGTATCTTGTCCAAGGATACTTTACCGCCGATCCTCCCATTAGTGTACAGCCACTTTACCTCTGAGTCACAGCAGCCAAGCCCAATCCTATTTTTAGCTGTAATGATGCCTATTTTATTTTGAGAAAGAAAACTAAGTTGGCAGCATCATTATATCGAGTGGAAAAAAAGTTTTGTTCATAACTTTCTAAATATTTCCGTAAGTCAGATTTACATATTGCGCAACTTTTGTGATCTTTAGTCAAATTTGAAATACAGTTCTGTGGGTTTGAACATTGTTGGCCCACTCAAAATGCATTTATAATAATCCACCCACTGAGGGCTCTGTGGGCTGCAGTAGGTTAAAGCAGCATTTTGGGAAGGAGGCAATACACTGTAGATAGATTACTAAAGGCAGAGGAGAGGGCAGACAGTGTATTTTGTGTGTGATATTGTGTTAAGCCCTGGGAAGTGGTTGCAGGCAGTAGTGGGCTCGTATGTGTTTGGTGATTTGGGCTAGAGAGAATTTTACATCATTTTGAAATGACAGGAGCATATCAGAGAGGAGATGGGTGGGTGAACAGATGGGTGGCTAACACTTTGTAGCAGTAATCTCCTCAATTTCTGCCCGAGGTTCAGCTTGTTTTTAGTTTGACTGAATCAGTGCAGCAAGCATCAGTATGGTAGAGTAGCTATAACAACAAAACAGAAATATATCTCAATAAGATCTGGCACTGATATCACACTGTGGTCTCTAACAGCTCAACCTTTTTCTTATGAATGAAAAATAGTATTGGGAACAAAAATATAGTTGTTTTATACTGCGTAGTAAAATACATCTTACTATGCCTCTTCAATGCCTCATTAGGGCCTGATGGAAAGACCAGCATGTCATAATTCTTAACCTGTCATTTAACTAGTTCAACATGCATGGCGTGCTACATGATGCCATGGTTGTAGACATTCCAGATCCAGGAAGTCCAGCTCTGGCCCCTCCTGTCCGAGCTTGCAGGCCATGAAAGACTGTGTGCTGTCATCACTTAATCTAACAACAGACTTAAATATCATCTCGTCTGATCCTGGCAGTACAGCTCGCTCACACCAACATCTAGCTTGACAGAGATATTTCAAAACCATATTCAATGACCGCAAATGAAACAGCTGTGATAAGAGGCAGCGAAGAAAATGATAATCATGCCGAGTTATACTTGTCAGATTTACATATGCAGACAGTGCATTAATTGTCCCAACTGTTTTAACTAACTGTTCCCCCCTCCTGTGTTACTCTGTCCCATCTTCTAGATGTTGGAGCCTAAGGTTGATACCCCTTCCTGTGAGCTGGGCGGAGTAGGAGATCGAGGAGGTGTGTGTCTCCACCTGCCCCCCCGCAACTCGGAAGGTGAGGAAAGCAGCCTATATCCCTCCAGTCCCTCAGAGCCCCCAACCCTGGGCAGCCCTCACCCCTCAGAGCCTCTCACCCCTTTGGATGAGATCTACATGCCTCTCGGGGGTCTGATGGGATCTGAGGAGCGACACAAGGTACCTCCTACACCACCTCCTTCCACTGAGGGTGAGGATTGGAAGAGTATGGAGGGGAATGAGATGGAGCTCTGGAGAGAGGTGAATACTTTGGAGAGCCGGAAAGAGGAAGAGGAGGAGGATGGGGCCAGCAGAAAGAGTGCAGGAAGTGAAGGGGAAGAGAAAGAAGAACAAGAAGGAGAAGAAGAGGGAGAGAGGAATGAAGAGGAAGGCAACTTGAACCTGGTGGTATCAAACACAGATGAGGACAACGCCTCGGAGCCACCTGACACCAACGCTCCACCCTCGTCTTCCTCGTCCTCATTTGTCATCCCTGAGCTGCGCCTTGATCGCTCGTTTAGCGCAGATGCCCTCTCCTCACCCAACACTGACGAGGAAGAGTACGATGAAGATGAAGACGAGGAGTCTGAGGAAGAGGACGATGAAGACGACAGTGACGATGCATACCTGCAGCGCAGCGACAGCAAGCGCCGCAGCATGGTGGAGGGTGCCACCTGTGAGAAGCATGGAGGAGGGGGGCTCAGTGTGCAGAACTCCCTCCGCAGGCGCACCCACAGTGAGGGGAGCCTCCTGCAAGACCCCCGCACGCCTTGTTTCACCTCCGACAACGCCATCAACTGCTTGGAGGCGGCAGGAGGGCACCACAAGGGCGGCTGGACACTCCCATCACCCAAAACCCTGAAGAAAGAGCTGACGAAGAATGGAGGCTCCATGCATCAGCTGTGTATGCTGTTTGCTGGGAGGAAGGTAAGCAGCGTCACACTGAAATAATACTGTATACTGAGTCATGCAGGAATAAAGATATATAAATACAGATAATAAAACACACACACACACACACACACACACACACACACACCAATACTGGGATTTCTTTAATAGTGAGTATTTCAGGCTTTCGTCTTACCTCACATACTGAGTTAAATGTCGATCACAGCTCTCTGCCCATGTGTTTCCTAACTATTGAATCAGCAGTGTTAGAGTGATCAGCTCAGCTCAAAGTTTCAGTTCACTGGTTTCTGTAAAAAGGGTGACATCAAGTGGTACAACAGAGTAAGTACACAAGAGTCCTGCAGTCATAAGAGTGTTCACGTCTAACAAAAGCATACTTCCTGTCTTATGAGCAGTGTATTACTACTTCAGCTGTAAACCAGGATCCTCTTGTGCCTCAATTTACAGTACTATTTATACCACAACGTCAAAAATATTCATCAATCTTCTTACGGAATTGCGGGGCAGTGGGGGGCAGCTCGGTGGTGCAGCGTTAGCACTGTTGCCTCACAGCAAGAGGGTGCATGCTTTCACAGTGTCAACGTGGGTCCTCTCCAACTGCCTCCCACAGTCCAAAGACATGCAGGTTAGATTAATTGGCGACTCTAGGTGTGAATGTGAGCATGAGTAATTATCTGTCTCTATGTGTCAGCCCTGTAATAGTCTGGTTATCAGTCCGGGGTTTACCCCGCCTCTGCCCAATGTCATCTGCCCACCACCCTGTATCAGGATAAGCAGATACAGACAGTAAATGAATGAATGAATCACAGCATTGCCTTTTCAACTATTCAGCTGGAGTTGCATTATACTGAACTGCATCCAAGTCACAAAACATTAAGGTTAATGATGTTAAAATATTTACTGCACAAGAAAAGGCACTCAGCCTCATTTGCATTATTATAAAGCCTCACTGAAGGCAAACATAAGCATCTTCTGGCTCTGCTAACTGTGCTTCCACTACAAGGCACAGTTATCTTGTAGTTCATGCTCTCTTACATACTGATACAATAAACAAGACATCCCAAAATATGACATAAAACGAAACAAAGACACTATTAACCAAAAGAAAATCATACCAGTAGTATACTAGTTAGAATTATTATGATACTGTGAATTTTTCAGGACTTTAATAGCAGTATATTCTGCATATTATTAACATTGTTTACTGTTGAAATGTAGCCTCTACTGTATTTAAAGCACTTGATGGCTGTGTTGTCCATCTTAACGTAAAAGTTTATTCATGTACTCACACACAAGATAAGCTGTTGCAAATCATTACTTTTCAACTCCTGTTTGAAAAAGCTTTGTGCAGCGAGCTCTTCATTTAAGAGCAGGTAACAGTTGTTCTAGTTGTCCAACAGAGGGAAGCATGCATCACGACCTGTTAGCCCAGCAGTCTCAGATAAGTGTGCATCATATATTTTCTCACCTCACTTTTGCCAAGGTTGAATAATGACCAGTGATTACCAAATCTCAGTGTGTCTCACTTTCCTGTTAACCATGATTGAATGTGTTTTATAATTTCTCAAGAATTATTACACTTTAACTGGAACACAGACAGGTCATACTTGATCTCTGCACTGATTTCTCCCAACAGCACTATTTATAGTAGTTTGACTGCACACCTGCACACCTATGACATCAGTGTGCATTTGGCAAATGACTGCTCCTGAAAGAAGAGTGCAGAAAAATGGGGAGAAAATAGAAAATGACAGTGATATCAGAGCTTCACAGACAAACCATCGACTTAAAGATACACAAATGCCAGAGGTGATCAAGTGCTCACTCTGTCATTGTTGAATATCAGAAGCACTGCTCCGTTTTATCTCCCTCTCCTTCCACAAGTCTGTCAGCACGCTTGGTAGCCTTAAATGGCAGTGTGTGTGAGCTGTGCGGAGGAGGAATGCAGCAGACAGGGCTGGAGCCTATTGGTCTTGGCAGATTCAAGGGTAATTTTACTACCTATTGGCGTCATAGACACAGTTCCTTTGAGGCTTGTGTTTCCATTATTTAAAATGATCTGTCAACCCCCCCTCATTCATAAATCTTGTGACATCTCCAGGTGCAGACTAGAGTGAGTATGTGTGTTTGTGTGCATGCGTATGTGTGGGTGTCTAACCTCTGCTTTTATTTGATAACATCCTCAAAGTTTTTAAAGCTCGTTAGTGTTTATTTTCAGTATTAAAATAAAAATATGAAAAGAAGCAATTATCATAAAAGTCTGGAGAAATAAAGGCTAATGTGCATGATGTGAGTGTTTACATTATCATACATTTTATCCAGTCATAATTGAAAGATTATTTTATACGGACAACACAAAGCCTTAGCTTCCCTGTTAGTATACTCTATGCCAAATTTGATCAGACATCTAGAAACAGTTCTAGTATGAAGCAACTTACCCTGATACAATGATTTGTATAATATCTAATGTATTTATGGCCCATGAATGGCCTTGTTATGTTATGTAACTAATGTAAAGTCACGTACTTAACGGAAAGTTGCGTAGGTTAGGTTCAGGTAAGACGGGTTACGTAAAATAGGTTTAGAAAAAAAAAACAAGGCAACAAGGCACCTTAAATAAACACAAAGTTCACTCAGTTTCACATAGGACTGTTCAACTCAAGAACGAAAGGAGGACTCAAAAATGCAAAAAACCGCAGAGCTCAGTTCAACAAATTTATTCACAAAGAAATCTTGAAACTAGTGTCCTGTGTGGGTTTCAAACCTGGGTCTCTGGTGTGAAAGGCGGGGACGCTGCCGCAGGACCACGAGCTTGGCTGGCTTGACAATGGCGGTTATCGGTGATAGGCAGGTCCAGAGGGAGGGACGGACGGACGGACGGACAGAGCTTGACAGAGGCAGGGGAGGTCCAGAGGGGAGAAGCTGGAGCTTGGCAGTAGCAGGGTGAGTATTCCAGGATTGGATGTCGGAGTTGGAGCAGGGCAGACAGTTGAGGGGTTTGCTGGTTGAGGCTGGAGTGCAGCAGGTGAAGGCAGTGGCAGGCGAGGCAGGTCAGCAGCGGAGTGAAGGCGGCTGCAACAGAGGAGAACGGAGTCAGGAGCCAAGAAAATACAACAAGAACAAAACTCATACAGAGCTGGTACAAGAACGAGGCCGAGAACATTACCAAGAGGGGTTTACAACGAAATGGCGAAGACTGAAGGGAAGAGCCGATCTATATACACCAGGGTGATTGCAGAATGTGTGCAGGTGAGTGGATGATTGCTGACTGCCTGCAGGTGAGTAGAAGAAGCCACGCCTTGCCTGCTCCTGCTGACAGAAAGGGGGGGGGGGAACAGGAGGAAAGGAAAAACACAAGTGCAATCCTAACAGTACCCCCCCCTCATCGGGCGCCTCCAGGCGACGATGGAACTCCCGGACCAAAGCAGGGTCCAAGATGAAGGACTGAGGGACCCAAGAGCGCTCCTCCGGACCATAACCCTCCCAGTCCACCAGGTACTGGAGGCCCCGGCCACGACGCCGCACATCAACCAAACGGTTGACCGTGAAGGCAGGATGGTCATCAATAATACGGGGGGGAGGGGGGGAAGCAGCAGGAGGACACAGCACACTGGTAGACACTGGTTTGAGTTGAGATACATGGAACACAGGGTGGATCCTCATATTATTGGGTAGAGAAAGCTTTACTGCAACAGGGTTGATTATTTTGGAGATGGGGAATGGACCAATGAAACGAGGAGAGAGCTTACGGGATTCAACATGAAGTGGAATGTTCTGAGTTGACAGCCACACCGACTGACCTGGTTGATACTGGGGGGCTGGCCTCCTCCGGCGGTTAGCAGTGTCCTGGGCACTTTGCTGGGAACGTTCAAGTGCCCTCTGGGTCTGGGTCCAAACCTCCTTGCAGCGGTGAACGTGGGCCTGGACCGAAGGAACAGCCAACTCCACCTCATGGTCCGGGAACAAAGGAGGCAGATAACCTAGAGAGGCTTCAAAAGGTGACAGTCCGGTGGCAGAGCAAGGCAGAGTATTGTGTGCATATTCAATCCAAGGCAACATGGAACTCCAGGAAGAAGGGTTAGCAGAGGTCATGCAACGTAGAGCAGCTTCTAACTCTTGATTTGCTCTCTCAGATTGGCCATTGGTCTGAGGATGAAAACCTGATGACAGGCTGGCTGTAGCCCCTAAAGCCTTACAAAACCCCCTCCAAACTTGAGAGATGAATTGAGGGCCGCGGTCAGAGACAATATCAGAAGGAATACCATGTAACTTTATGACATGTTCAGTTAACAGGTTAACTGTTTCCATTGCTGAAGGCAGCTTTGAGAGAGCAATAAAGTGGGCTACTTTAGAAAACCTGTCAACTACTGTGAGTATGACTGAGTTACCTTGGGAGTCAGGCAGGCCAGTGACAAAGTCCAAAGCAATGTGGGACCAAGGGCGGCTAGGAATGGGCAGAGGGCGTAAAAGTCCAGCAGGTGACAGATGTTGGGTCTTACTGCGGGCGCAGACTGTGCAGGCAGCCACATACTCCCGGGTGTCAACATCCATTGCGGGCCACCAGAAATGCCTCTTGAGGACAGCTGAGGTACGCTTAGCACCAGGGTGGCAGGAGAATCGAGCGGTGTGAGCCCATTGCAGCACCTGGGATAGGACAGAGGGAGGCACAAACAGAAAGTTTACAGGACCGTTACCTGGATCAGGGTCCTGAAGTTGGGCATCTCTGACAACTTTTTCGATGCCCCAGGTTAAAGCAGCTACCACACACTCATCAGGGAGGATGGACTCCGGGGCAGGACTGGATTCAGGGTCAGAATACTGACGAGAGAGAGCATCAGGTTTAGTATTCTTAGAGCCAGGACGATACGTAATGGTGAAGTTGAACCGACTGAAGAAGAGTGCCCATCTAGCCTGCCTGGAATTTAGTCTCTTAGCAGACTTAATGTACGCCAAGTTTTTATGATCAGTCCAAACGACAAACGGCTGCTCCGACCCCTCCAACCAGTGCCTCCACT